TCCGGCGGGAAATTCTTTTTCCCCCCCCCCCCCCCCCCCCCCACCAGGGCAATGCAAATGCAACTGACTGAAGTTGTCTTTAGGCTATTCCCAAAGGGGGGACATTAACATGTTCTTATGAACCGTAGAATTGTAAATGGGCTGATTTATCAATGTCATGCTCATACTGTGCCGGAACAACATAAGTTCAGGGGAACTGCTGCTTTTTTCTTTCCTCATCCTTACTATCGTCATTTTTCCTCTACTTCTTTTGTATGTTTGTCACTCTCTTGTGAACTGCTATTTCCCGGGTGCCTTGATAGTCGAAGCAGACTTTGTGCTGTTGAAGCTAGAGAGGTGGGCAGAGTAAATGGGATTCCCCGTTTGGACTTCTCTCTTGACATCCATCCCTTGGCGCTCATATGACCTTATGCTGTTGTGAGCGCCGTAAAAACCTCACTAAGACTAAAATTAAATCTTGCGGTGAGCGAGCGTGCGATCGTCTGTCTATCCTCCATTTTGTCCACAGGACTTTGTTGTGTGGAATTTTCGTTCCATACATTATGTAATATTCATATAATGTTATTGATGGCGCAAATGAACTCCTTTTTTTCGAGCTGGTGTGGAGCTTGATTTGCTGGGTAGTACATTTTTTTCCCCAGGGAGTAAATTTTTTTCAGGAAATATTTCCTGGACACCCTGTGTAAAACTAACAAAGAAGAAGTCCAGTCGTTGGCCCTGGAGTGGTTGGCTGATCTGGTGTCGCCAACTGTGTTCTGTGATTCCTCCATGCATAACGTATAATGTTGTCCAATCACAATCCGCCCATAATGATGATATGTTGAGATGATTTTTGTCGAGAAAGTTCGTACGATGTTGGTGCGATGTCGTGCGGAGTCTGTTTTTGTGTTGTTGTGTGTCTGTTGGTGCGATGTCGTGCGTCTGTTGGTGCGTGCACCGCCTGTTTGTGTGTTGTTGTGTGTCTGTTTGTGTGTTGTTGTGTGTCTGTTTGTGTGTTGTTGTGTGTCTGTTTGTGCGATTTTGTGCACCTATTTGTTTTTTGCTCTTATTGTTTGATCCCATGACATGTGAAAAGTCGGGTCTGTGTGTGTGTGTGTGTGTGTGTGTCTGAGTGGGTGTGTGGGTGTGTGTGTGTGTCTGAGTGGGTGTGTGGGTGTGTGTGTGTGTTTGTGTGGTATGTATTTTAATTTATGTTTGCATGTGAGTGTGTGTGCCGCTTCGGCACTTATATGACCTTATTGTGTTGCAAGTGCCGTAAAACTCTTACTAAAACTAAGGAGAGCTGTCAAGGCGGGCCATCCTCCTCTTGGCTCTGTCTAGCAAAGATAAGATGTTGCCTCCTTGTGTTAACGGCCGATTGAATCGGCAAAAAGTTTCTTTTTGTCGTCGTATCGCATCTGATTTTGTCGGCCGTAATTTTGTATTTGCTATTACGCTTCATTTATCCTGTCTTTTAGTTCGGTGTTTTAGAGTTCCCTTAGTTTTAGTTTTAATTCGTTTCATTCTCTTAGACTGTGCCATTTATTCAGGTGTACTCCTCACGCATTCTGTCCCCGTCGTTTTATGCAAGAAAAATTCTGAAATTATGCAAACTGAGCCCCAAAAATGTGGAATTATGCGATTCTGTTAATTTTAACAAAGAATGATAAAAGGAAAATAATCAGAAATTATGCAAAAAATGATCAAATTTTGCTAAATTATGCGGGGTACATAAAACCACGGGGACAGCACATTGTAAAGAGCACTTTTCCGTTTTATAATTTATTTTAACGACACCCAAGTGAGGGTCGCTGTCAGCATTATAATGTGTAAGTGTAAGGCTGCTCTTGGCGTAGAGAAAGTTTTAAAAAGTCCTCGTTTTATTGGACAAATTCTTCTTTCTTATAATCCAAGCATTGGTGCTTATGTGTGTGTGAGTTTGGGCTGTGTGTGGTGGTGTTGTCAATGTCATGCATATAAATGTCTTCATGGTTTTTTTTAGGGGGGGGATTTTTTTTGTGCCGCGGGGGGA